CACAGTCCAAGAGGCAAGGTGATGGCTACCCAGAGGATGCGTGGCTCAGAGCTGATATGCTGTCTACACTCCACACCAAAGGGGACCGTTAGTGAAACAATTAGCCTGATGGTGAAAAGGACCCGGGGACTAGGCAGTCCACAGGAGCTGCCCCAAGTGAGGCCGGAGGCTTTCCTGACACGCCTTTAATGCTGATGCCAAGCCCTGCCGAAATGTCTACAGGGTTCACTACTGAACAGAAGAAGGCCTCTTCAAGCACATAACACCTTGGTCCCCAGACCTAGACCTAGACCCCACTGACTGTAATAAACTGAGACTCAGTGTGTGTGTGTGTGTGTGTGTGTGTGTGTGTGTGTGTTGCTGAGGCCAGAGGTCAACCTTGAGTGTCAATCCTCAGGCGCCATCTTTTTGTTGTTTGTTTTGTTTCGTAGGTTTTGTTTTAGGTAGGGTCTCTGGCTGGCCGGAAGCTGGCCAGTGATTTCCAGGGCGCCCTACCTCTCTAGCCCCACCTTGGGGTGACAAGTGTAATCTTGTAGTATGACTTTTTTTTTTTTTTAATGTGGTTTCTGAGGGTCAAACTCAGGTCTCCATGCTTGCAAAGCCAGCACTGTATCATGAAGTCATCTCCGCAGCCCCTTCCCGTGGTTTCTATGAGTCTGTGATGAGCTTAGGAATAGTAGTTCTGTTGAATTGTAAACATCGGAGTCAACGTGTCAACACTTCATGTCCACTGTGCATCTGGTAGCCTTGTTTTCACAAGTCTTCCTGCATTGCGTGTGTGTGTGTGTGTGTGTGTGTGTGTGTGTGCATGTGTATGTGTATGTGTGTGTGGCTGGGGATGGTCTTCTACATCCTCAGCATCCCTTTCCTATCCCAGCACTGTTTCTCCAGCGCTGCCTCTGTCAGCTGATGCTGTTCATTTTCCTCCCCTGTTCCTCCACTAGAAATAGAGCTGGCAGTGGGGGGGCCTCTTGGAGGGCCTGCCTGGGCATCTGGTTCTGGTCCTCAGTGATATGTGGTTTTGCAGGACACTCCTGTTAGAACCACTGGGTTTAGGGGGAGAAGAAGAGCCTGGCAGAGCCCTTATTGTACTGCAGGGTCCTTTTTATTATTAACTTCCAAAGTCCTCAGTGTAGCAGAGCTCTGAGTCCCACACAGAGAAGGAACAAGACTCAGTCCTTAGGAAAGGCTTTGAGATGTTAGCTCATCACAACTGAAGTGGATAAGCCCAGAAGACACTAAGTAGGTCTCCGTACCTGTAGCTAGGTACACATTCTTTGGGGATAGAAAATGTCCATAAGCTTATTTCCTTCTTACGTAGTAAAATCAGCTTACCTTTGAGTTTTGCTATAGTCTTAAAAGTAACACTTTTGGGGACCCTCTCCCATGTTTGCACAGACTCCATCTCCCTTTGATGCACTATTCTACGGCAGAGCTGAATATAATCCACTTTGGGGGATTTAGTCTCAAATAACTCCTTTAATAGGCTCTTTTGTTTGTATTCCTTTCCACATACAACTATACTATATAGGTTACATAGATCCTCTATTATATACAGGATGCAAAATATATTCTACATATTATATAGGATAAAGGCTTGGACCAAGTGAAACCTCTCTTGGTTTCTTGGTCCATGGATGTTGACTTGCTCCTGGCAGCGTACTCTTCTTTCTCTTCTGCATTCTGATTGCTTCTAGAAGATTGGCAAGAACCCCTCTCTTTCTCTGCTGAGCCAAACGTGGCTCCTCACAGGTTATCTGTGGTCTAGGAACCTGGTAACATCTGTCAGAACTAGCCAGAGAGGATATATGCACTCTGTCTGGGGCATCCAGCCCTCAGCCGCCTGGTTCTCTCTCTCTCTCTCTCTCTCTCTCTCTCTCTCTCTCTCTCCTCCCTCCCTCTCCTCCCTCTCTCCTTCTTCCCTCTCTCCCTCCCCCTCTCTTTCCCTCCCCCCTCTCCATCTCTTCCCTCCTTCCTCCCTTCCCTCTCCCCCTCTCTCTTGCTCTGTCTCTCCTCTTCCCCCCTCCCCTTTCTTACTGAGTTGCTGATGGTCAAACCTAGAGCCTGGGGCATGCTAGATAAGCATTCAGCTAAACAGTGCGCCTCGGAGCCTCATCCCATCTCTTTTTACGTTTGATTTTGAGTCAGGGTCTCACCACGTTGCCCAGGCTGGCTTGAAACTTATTCTGTAGCCCAGGCAATCTTTGAACCTGCAGTCTTCATCCTGAGCAGCTGAGTATCGGCCCGTGCTACCAGGCTTCACGGCCACTTGGATCTTACAGAGTTAAAGAATTGTTGACAAAGTGACCAGGAAGCAACAGAGTGAAGATTTCAGATACTGTGTCTCTGACACGTAGGAAAGCCCCAGAGCCTGCAAAGACATAGGTTGGCTTGGCTGCCACCTCACTGATGCCCGCCACTGCAGCAGAGAGACTTCCAGTGCCTACCCTTGGTCAGTGAGGGCGAGTCAGGCTTGTATGTGGAAACTAGAAGAATTCTCTGGCCATTTCCTGTAGCTCCTCACCCCCCCCCCCCCAAATGTCTGCTCTTCCCTCACCACTGCCAGTGACCTCTTTGAAAACACCCTTTTTAGGATGAAGGAACTAGGTAGTGCCCCTTCTTTCTGACTGAAATGGGCTGAATAAGGGTCACCACCCCCAGCCCCAGCCTCCAGTCCTTCTCTCGCTGGATCAAGGTTTTTTCTAAAGTGTCTCCTTTGTTTACAAGAGTCTAGAATAGTCGGGAGGTGGCTCCTCTCCCTGGTGCCTGTCATTAACTGGGCTCCAGTGAGCTCACTCCAGGGACCCTGTGAGTCGTGGAGAGTGTCCCAGGGGTCTTTAAGGTACTGAGTAGCAAACCTCTCATAATGGATCCTTAAGTCTCAAACAAAAGCCAGCGCAGGTAAGAGAAAGGCTCAAACAGGGCCAGGGCAGCTCAGGGGGTGAGATGTTAGGTGCTGCAACCTTGGGATGGTCAAGAGCCCAAGGAGAGGGCCAACCACAAAGGCACAGAGAAAGGCAGCCCCAAACTTCTAGGTTCCTCAGTGGAATTCCAGTTTGTCCACACAGGCACTTGGCGAGTCACATTGCTTTTGTTTCTGGTCCCACCTGGGACTTTCTCGAGGAGGTGTGTGGGTGCCTCCAAGGATCCCTTTCTGGGATTAAAAGAATCACCCACCACCTCCAAAGCTGGACTGAGGACCTTTCGTGGGCCAGTGTACACTGTACAAAAGTCCCCTCTCCCTACCCCAGGAGTCCCCTAGGAATGGAGACCTAAGCCTCAGCTGGAAGCCAGCATCACCAAGCCCTGTGTCAGCTTCCTCATCTACACAAGGGGCATCTGCCCAGAAGCATCCCAGAGTGGGATTCAAAAGGGGGCAACCGTTTATAAAAAAGTGTGGTGTCTCAAAACAGACCTTAGCACAAGGTTTTCACGATGATTGAAAGGGCTACTGGTTGTCCCCAGGGGAAAGTCGGCTGTTTATAGCTGACTCATCTAGCGGGAGCCCGGTGGCATAACCTTGACGGCTTGGTAACTTTCCTTGACTCATTCGAGTCTCCAGCGCAGACACACTGGCCAAAGCATGTCCCGCGCAAAGCAAAGCTGCCGGACTGCAATGCTCTTGGAGCCCTTTCGGTCCCGGGCGGCAGGAGCAGGGAAATGAGATACAGCCCCTCCTCGGTCCCATTTTTCAGATTGAGCAACTGAGCCACCGCCTTCAGTAATCCTCAGGCAGATTATGCCCTATCCCCGGATATCTAGGCACCTAGTCCTGAGCACCTCCAGCTTTCTCCGTAGCCTCCAGGGAAACGGAGCCTCACCTATTGGCACCCTCGGACACTAACCCTTTCCTTCCCACAGCACTGGGAGCAGAGAGGCTCTCTGGGCACCTGCCTTCAGACTCTGCCAAGGGGATTCAGACAGAAGGGAGAGAAATCAGGGAGTTACCAACTGATAAGACTCTTTCCCACCCCCTCCCTCTCAGTCTCAGGATAAACGCCCCGAGCTGCCACCCTGCCAACAGGTCTGAGATGCTAGTTCGTTCTGGGTGCTACCTTAGCCGGGGCATTGGAGAGTAAATTAAAATGGCTTTTTTTCCCTCTTTTTTTTTTTTTTTTTTGAATGATGGAACCGTCTCCAGCAATATCAGAACCTGGGAGTGGGGGCAGGGGAGAGATCAAGGGTTGGGGTGGTGGTTATGTGTGCTCTTTGTATACTTGAGTATTGTAGACACTTGGAACCTCAGGTGTGGGAGTCACCTCCAAAGCCATTCACCCCGACCTCACTTTTGGGGTTGGTCACTAAGAAGACCACTGTAGGGCAAAGTGTTGGTCACAGGGGTGTTTAAGAAAATCACCCCCATCCACAGACAGTCACTCAGGGTACCCGAGTCTCTACCATCAGGCAGCAGGCTGGGGGCTAGAAGCAGGGGCCTCCCTACCACACCCACATACTGGTAGAGTTGGAAGAAGGGTAAAGAAATTCCTGGTTTGTTAGGAGCCCCCAAACACATTCTCTGCTCCTGCTCCTGGCCAACCAGGCCACCAGATTCAGAGGAGACCTCCGAGTTTCCCTTCAGGATACCCATCCTATACTGACGATGGGGGTAAGGAGCAAAAGGGGCAACCTGAGTGGGGTTTGGAGACCTGTGGCTACAGGGCTGGAGGCAGAGCGTTAGCTTGAAGTGAAAGGTGGGGAAGGAGGCAGGGGAATCCTGGAGAGCCCCCCCACCAGCCCCCCACAGGCCTCCTCTCTGGGAAAGCTCAGACTTGCTAAGAATGTGGGCCCTGGGCACCCTGCATTGGGAAAACTTACTGACAGTTGTCGCCAGAGCAGCTGGGCGTTTCCCAAACTCAAGACCCCAGTAGGCTCTGCCACCAGAACAAACCCCCTGGGGGAGGGCAAATCATCCCTGCCCACATTGAGTCTTGCCCGTGACCCCTTTGCTAACCTCAGGTCCCCGGGGGTCAACAGATACAGAAGTTGGGAGATTTACTGACCGTCTGCATCAAAGTGCTTCCAGATTTCCAGGAACTGGGATGCTGTCAGCTCGGCCAGGTGCAGGTAAGGGGGCTGCTGCTGCGGGCCAGCCATGGCAAACCGCTCCTGGAGATCTTAAGCCGCTCAGCGTTGTCACCCGATGCCGCTAGGCTCTGGTTCTCGCTCTGGAGCTGCGCGCCACGCTGCCTTTATAGGCTGCCCGGAGCTGCACTGCATCGGGCCATCGGCAGGGGGCGCGCACACTCAGGGAATCGCGTAGGGCGCGGCGCGGCGCGGCGCTGCACGGGCGGAGGCCCCGGGCTTCTCTGCCGGGGTTCCTGGGGGTCTCCGAGAGAGTCTTCTAGGAGATTCCTGGGTGCCTGCTGGGGACACCACATACTTTTCGGTGGAAATGGGAGAGGCTGCTCCTGTCTTCCTTTCTCTCTCTTGAGGACATACAGTTACTAGCCGCAACAGTAATATTACTAACGTAGCAAAGCTAAGATTTGAACCCAGAACCCTTTCCACGCCCTCTTACTCCTTCAAGAGGGGTGGGGTGGGGACAGAATTGAAGGAAAGAGTTTTCAAGGTTTATACTGTAAGTGGGCAGCTGGAATCTGCACGGTGCAGGGAGGAATCAGATAGGGTGGAGGACGTAGTTCCCTGTGGGGTACCTCCCTTTTCCCCTCCGGTATTTGCCACATTCTGAGCTTTCTGTCAGGACTTTCTAGTAGGACTGACTGTCCAGGGAGTGGCAGACTGGAGCCTACGGTTCCATGTGTGAACCTCACCCACCTAGGTCATGGTAGTTGGGGCAAGTCTACTCCAGTAGGTAGAGAACATTGAACTCTAACCCAGGAATGCTCTGATCTTCTCAGACAAAAACGGAAGCCCCCACAGACAGCAAGCACACCGCCAGTCCCCTCAATCTGAGCCTCGGTCCCACAGCCTCCCCACCTCTGAAGGTCTCAGTTTTGTAGTGTGTGCTAGCCTCAGGGACACCTTACCTTTAGAGCGACAGCGGTACCGCCCCTGAAAAGAAGGACACAGACGTGAATTGGTGCTCATTAACATGTGCTAATGAGTGTTAGCTGAGCTGCCTTTCGAAGGGAGAGCAAAAGAGAAGGAGGTGAGAAGCAAAAGCAGGTCGCTAGGGGAGAGGAGAGCCTGGGGGCGGGGCAGAGAGGGGCGGGTTGACTCCTGGGGTCAGGTGGGGGCAGCTCTGTGTTGACCTCAAAGGACAACCTAGAGCCCAAGTTCCTAAAGTGCTCCTGTATTGCCCATGCCCAGGGTATCTGAAGTTATTTACAGGAACAGAAGAAGAGGCAGAAAAAGCTAGCCTTTGAGGCCTGGGCATACCAGACTCCCTTGCTGCCAGGGCTCAGAAATTACCAAGCTCGAGGCCCCTTGCCTGAGTCTTGCCTATGCAAAGGAAAACAGGTTCAGTTCTAAAGAACAGTCACTCTAGAATCAAGCTCCTCAGGTCCGGTTCCTAAAACAACAAACAAATAACCAAACAAAACCAGTCAACCAACCAACCAACCAAACAAATAAAAACTCTCTGTAACCTTGTTTGGATTACACAGCCTGTCTGTGCCTCGGCTTTTCTAGTCTGTAAAATGGGAGAGTGGGTGTTGGCATCTTGGAATTGTTCTGAGGGTTAAAGAGTTTGTGTTCCCGTCCTTCATGCAGCCAGTGCTCCGCGCTCTCTGGTGGGCTGGGCAAGGACTTCCTGATGAGAATATTGGCCAGCTGTCCATCACTGACAAAACAGCCGCAAAAGTCAAGGTAAGGGAGAAGAGATTTATTTTGACTCATGATTTCGGAGATTTATAGTCTGTGGGCATTTGGTTCATTGCTTATGGGTGGTGGTGAGACAGAACGTCATGGTGAGCACCTTGGCCCGGAAGTGAGACTGGGAGAGAGAGAGGGAGAGAGATGAAAGAAGGGAATCCTAGCTGGAACGAGACACAGCCTCCCACTGACACATTGTGACTTGCTGCCTCCCAACTGGTCCCACCTACCTACAGTTTCTACCACCTTCCAATAATCAATCATTAATCTGCCAATGGATTAACCCATCCATGAAGTCAGAGCTCTCTCACCATTCACTTTCCCTTCCCCAGATCCCACCTCCAAACACTGCTGAATTGGAAACCAGGCCCTGAACACACAAGCCTCTGAAGATGATTCCAGATTCAAAGTCTTAACTCTCTGTGTCCCCCAGTGAAGTTGCTCCTGGCTCCTGGAAGGGTGAATGCTAAGTGGGGTCCAGGGGCGAGTGAGGCAGACGCTGTTTCCAGAATAGCAGCTTTCGACTCTGGTGCACCGAAGGGCCTTGGCTCAGTCTTCCCGGCTCTGGCACCTGCCACTGGGGTTCCTTTCTTTGAGTTCCCTCCTAGTCCCTCCCAGGTCCCATGTGCAGGCAGAGGCTGTTTTCTGGCTCTGTAAATACCCAAGACAGAGTCTGATTCCTCTCAAACATTAAGATAAGGACCACGAATGATTCGTCAAGGGTTTGCCACCAAGAATCCTGTGTGTGGTCAGGGCTAAATGGAAAAGTGGATACAGGTATCAACATGGGCTAAGAAGAACTTTTCTTGATGTCTAACCCCAGCCTGGCAACCCAGGAGCCAGACTCCTGCCTGTTTAACATGTTCAGAACTCCCTCTGCCTCCACTTGAGGTCACCAACTGGAAAGGGATTCCTGGGTATGGGTTCTTTTCTGGCTCCTCTGAGGCTGGAAACCCCTCCAGCTCCTGGGGCCACTGTGGGAAGGGGCACTGTGAGACTCGGCACTGCTCGGAGGCCTGAAAGCACCCTCGACTGCCTTGCCCAGCCTCAGAAGGTGAAGCAAGGTCAGAGCCAGGGAGAGCCAATGACTGTATCCTAAGCAGCGACCTGGAAACAGTGCTTTTCTGCTTGCTTCTCAAGGAACTGAAACTCATAAATATTTTCCAGTGTCTGAGATCGTGTTCCTCCAGGGCTTCTGTGTGACGCTCATGGCGGCGGCGGTGGTGGTGGTGGTGGTGGTGGTGGTGGTGGTGGTGGTGGATGTTGGCGTCTGTGCTTGCAATGGATCATACTTTGTTGGTTCCCACAGCTCCCCTCTCAGATTTTTGTATAAGATTTGGACCCATCTTCAAGATAAGGAAACAAAGGCTCAGAGGGACCAACACTTAAGCAGGGTCTAGCAGGTTGGGGTGTTGAGGTCACTTTGGCTCATTAGGGTACCAGGGTTCTTGTATGTCAAATGCCATGTTCCTGGGCAATATCTAGAAAGTAGTCTGTAGACCCTGGCCACCAGTGTCGTGTATAGTGTCTCCCAGTGTCTTCCAGTCCTCCAGTGAGAGGTCCTTTCTTCTCCAAAACAAGCACATGAAGTCTTATTTTTTACATCCTTCCTGCCATCCCAATGACTGTCCCTTCTGAGGGCTGTCACGAACCCAAGGACACGGTAAGCAGATTTTCCGCTATGAGCCCTGTCCCAGGTCCCCAGGAAGTGAAGAACGTGACTACAAGATGCCAGAGCTGGGATGGCAAGCACCTTGCGAGCCGAAGTGAACTGCGGTAATTGGCAGAGGTCCTCAGTGGACCTGGTGTTATTTTGGAGCACTTCAAAGAAAACTCAGGAGCGCGTCCTGGTTCCCCCCTCTCCCTGCAAATGCTTCTTTCAGATACTGCCTCTTTGGTCTTTATAATGGTCAGGCCTGGCTACCAGGGTGCCAGAGAGCTGGACTTGCTTCCCAGAAAGAAGGATGAAAGGGATGCAGGAGCCCAGCAGTTTCCATGGCAACAGCTCGAGGTGGTGATGAGACTAGAGTCCGGAGAAACCCAGAGGTGGGAACAGGACTTTTGAGTAACCCAGTCTAAAGCCTGGGATCTTTGGACAAAAAACATCTGCCCGTGTGCAAGGGACCTTGGTCAGAGGGCGACAGGTGGAGGAAGGGCAGCAATAGGGCGGGGTCAGTGACTGCTTGTGACCCCTGTTGTAAAAGACAGGCACACAGAGGTCAGGAGCTCAGGGTCCTGAATTTCACAGGGTGCCTGTAACCCCAGGTTAGGGCCTTGGAAGGTTGAATGAGTTTTAGGGGAGTCAACACGTGGGACGAACATTGCAGGACCTGGGTCGTAATGAGCAGATGTTATTGCAAATGGGAAAACTGAAGCAAGCGATGGGGAGTCAGATCTAAATAGCACACTTACCTCTGCCAGCCCAAGTCACTGCTTCAGAGACCATGGCCAAGGGGTCAAGTCCTAAGGAGAAATAGCTGCTGGGGTTGCATCCCAGTTTGCAGGCTGGCATGAGGCTGGGAGGTCTGGAATGGCTGCAGCCATCCTGAAGACTCTAGAGTGGCCGTAGATGGGAGAGGACAGAGAGCAGAGGTTGAGGAGCAAGTCATCCTCACAAAGGCTGTCTTCTGTAAGACAGAGGGGCTGAAGAACATGGCGCCACAGGCAACAGCGCTTGAGCTGCTGGATCAAGCTGAACCTGGAGTTCATTAGAACTTTTAGCGGCATGAGTCAATACTTACCTAGTAATGACATTTTCTTTTTTTCTATTGATTTTTATTGAGCTCTACGTTTTTCTCTGCTCCCCTCCCTGTCTCCCCTCCCCCCTTCAACCCTCCTCCAAGGTCCCCATGCTCCCAATTTACTCAGGAGATCTTAACTTTTTCTACTTTCTACTTCCCATGTGGATTAGATCTATGTAAGTCTCTCTTAGTGTCCACATTGTTGTCTAAGTTCTCTGGGATTGTGGTTTGTAGGCTGGCTTTCTTTGCTTTATGTTTAAAAACCACCTATGAGTACATGTGATAATTGTCTTTCTGGGTCTGGGTTACCTCACTCAAAATAATGTTTTTTAGCTTCATCCATTTTCCTGCAAAATTCAAGATATCACTATTTTTTTCTGCTGTGTAGTACTCCATTGTGTAAATGTACCACATTTTCCCTATCCATTCTTCAGTCGAGGGGCATTTAGGTTGTTTAAAGGCAATATATAGCAACGACATCTTATAGCTTTCTTTCTTTCTTTCTTTCTTTCTTTCTTTCTTTCTTTCTTTCTTTCTTTCTTTCTTCTTTCCTTTCTTTCCCTTTTTTTAAATACAAACCCAAAAGGCCCAGGTGATCTAGGAAGAGAACAACTGTCCTCATGAAGCCAGAATTGGGGAACCCTTAGGAACCAA